ACTGTCGTGCTGCTACGCGGTGGAGGTCGTGAAGGCAGCAATCAAGGTGCGCAGGGAGGGAGGGATGGAGGGAGGAGGGAGGAAGGGATGGAGGGAGGATGGAGGGGTTACACGGCCCGCACGGCGATGACGAGAGCGGGACTGTCGTGCTGCTACGCGGTGGAGGTCGTGAAGGCAGCAATCAAGGTGCGCAGGGAGGGAGGGATGGAGGGAGGAGGGAGGAAGGGATGGAGGGGTTACACGGCCTGCACGGCGATGACGGGAGCGGGACTGTCGCGCTGCTACACGGAGGAGGTCGTGAAGGCAGCAATCAAGGTGCGCGGGGAGGGAGGGATGAAGGGAGGAGGGAGGAAGGGATGGAGGGAGGATGGAGGGGTTACACGGCCCGCACGGCGATGACGGGAGCGGGACTGTCGCGCTGCTACGTGGAGAAGGTCGTGAAGGTAGCAATCAAGGTGCGCGGGGAGGATGGAGGGAGGATAGAGGGTGGGAGGAAGAAAGGGAGAGAGGAGTGGGGAGGGAGGGGTTACACGGCCCGCACGGCGATGACGGGAGCGGGACTGTCGCGCTGCTACGTGGAGGAGGTCGTGAAGACAGCGATCAAGGTGCGCGGGGAGGAGGGATGGAGGAGAGAGGGTGGGAGGGAGGAGGGATTGAGGGATGGAGGGAGGCGGGAGGGGTTACACGGCCCGCACGGCGATAACGGGAGCGGGACTGTCGCGCTGCTACGTGGAGGAGGTCGTGAAGGTAGCAATCAAGGAGGGCGTGGAAGAGGGAGAGAGGGAGGAAGAGAGGAGGAGAGGAGGAAAGGAAGGAGTGTGGGAGGAAGAGAGGGAGGAGGGAGGGAGGGAGGGGCTACAGGGCGATGACGGGCGCGGGACTGTCGCGCCGCTACGTGGAGGAGGTCGTGAAAGTAGAGATCAAGGTGCACGTGGAGGAGGGAGGGAGAAGAAAGGGAGGGAAGAGGGTGGGAGAGAGGTAGGGTGGAGGGAAGGAGGGTGTAGGGAGAGAGGGTGTAGGGAGAGAGGGTGGAGGGAGGGAAGGAGGTGGTAGGGAAGGAGGGAGGGAGGGGTTACACGGCCCGCACGGCGATGATAGGAGCGGGACTGTCGCGACGCTACGTGGAGGAGGTCGTGAACGTGAAGGTAGAGATCAAGGTGCGCGGGGAGGAGGGATGGAGGGGGGAGGGAAAGAGGAAGGTATGGAGGGAGGGAGGGAGGGTGAGGGAGGGAGAGACGGAGAAGGGAGGAGGGTGGGCGTAAGGGGGAGGGATGGGCTACACTCCCTCCGGCCCCCATCTATGCTGAGATACACACTTGCTCGCCAGTCCGTCTGCCTGTACAGTCATTAATCAATCAATCATCATCAATGCGCGCACTTAATGCATCAAACGCACCGCGGTGGTCTTCCATAATCAGGCGCTAAAGCAGCTCATTGTTCCTCGCCTTACAGGGGCGCACACTGCCGCAGGCTTCGCTCCAGTTTAGAATCATGGTTCTCGCCTTGTTGAACAACGACACCGAATACGAATATGAGCCTCCAGACTACGGCCATGCTAACAGAACGGCAGGTATGTACGACCTATGGATCCACATCACTAGCACATGTATAAATTATACGGCTTCTGTCCTCTCGTCTACAAATATTATCAGAAGTAAATATATATATATATATATATGGGAACAAATCTGGTTAATGTTCAACTTGTTAGTCAGTGATACATAATAAATCATAACTAGACTAATGGTACTAAGGCTGAGAGGGTCTATGTCCCCCGGGGTACTGCCGGAACGTACCCTGGGTACTGTCCGGTATACCGGAACGTACCCTGGTACTATCT